CTTATCTTCCTGCTCCCCCCCTTCTGCTCCTGACTCCTCCACACTCTCTGGAGTTTCAGGACGCCCTTGGGGTTTGTTGCATTTTTTGATCGGGGGTTTTAATATTTTTTCCTGCTCTCTTTTTTCGAGAGCCTTTTCCCCCTGGCCTTTCAAAGCCAGAGCAATTTTTTTCCCGGAGCTCTGCCGCTCCGCCCCCTCCTCTGAGGGTGCCGCAGCTTCTCGCTGCTTTTCCAGCCTTTTAGACTGCACTAAAATACCTTGTAACATGATTCTTGCCGGCGAGAGTAGCTTTAACGCTGTCTCATCTTTTTTTGTTGCTAAAATATATAAATGCCTATTAATCTCTTGCCAAAACCCGACTTCGAACAACAGACAAGTCTCTGCAAGTGGGTAATTGAGCCTTGCCCATAATAACAGCTGTTTTAATTCTTTCTTTGGGATCCCTTCTGTATATAATTCTGCTACACTTTGTAAGGTGGATAAGATTTCCCGTTGTTCTTGGGAGAGTGTTGCCCCCATAGTATTATTTTGGCCTTCTTACCGAATCTGTCGCCAGCGTGGTCTGGAGGCCCTTGTTCTCCGTCCAGCAGATTACGAGGGATGGATCAGAGGCGCCTTTCTGGTCCCAATCCAGGCCGCTCTGCTACGAGCTGTCTTCAGCAGAAGCTGAGAGATGGGATTTCTCAGTGACTGCTGATTTTTGCAGCTTCTCCCGGCCGGTTTTTTCTTTTTCTTCTTTCTTTCTTCAGGCTTCCCTCCTCTGGAGTTATCAGTGCTGTTCTCTTGGCTCTTCAGCTCTTCAGGGCTTTCCCCCCCCCGAAAGGTTTGGTGGGAGATAGCCCACCCAGGGACGCCAGTTGTGGGATTTCTGGGCTGTTCAGATGGTCTGGGGAAAAGCCCAAAGATGGCCTTGGGCCCCCGGGTTCGAAAGGACGAGAGGAAGCTTCGGATTTGTTCTCGGTCTCGGTGTTTATTAATTGCTTATCTAAAAGATTTTCTCTTGGCCTGACAGAGCTCTGCTCAGCAGTCAGCCATGGGCACACACTGAAAGCCCCTGGGGCGGTCACCTATCTTTATACCCGGAGTTACGTATACAATATTTATCATTTTTCTCCAATACCCTCTACCCTTATTAACCAGTGTTCCCCTAGTAAGGTCCAATCCCGGAGTGCCAACATCACCACAGAAGATGGAGGTCTAGAGGAAGAAGAAGAAGGAGAAGGGCACGCCCCAATTCCTCCATCTTACTTCTCTAGACCCCCCTGTACAGAAATCTTAAGCCCTGTATCTCACACTCCAATTAACTTGTCCCTTCACCATTCACCCCAGTGAAATCCTCCCGTCCTCATACTGATGTCATCTCCCATGTGGGATCAAAGTCCAGCCACCAGACATCTCTGGCAGCATTCCAGGACTCCCGAGCCCCCCAGGGGGGGTCTTGTTCACCCTGCACCCCAGTTCTGAGAGACTGAGATCCCACAGAATAGTAGTTATCATTCTGCTTATCTGCTGGAAAAAAAAAAAAAAACATTAAATAATATCCAGCACTGTGGCCTATATATTAAGGGGGGCTTAGTCCACAAAAGCCATGGATTCCTGTAGGACCAGCCAAGGACCATCCCATCCTCCCATGCATGCAGAGATGGGGACAGTGCTTCACAGTTTTAAGACATTTACACTATGGGAAGGGGGGGCATGCACAACCATCCCTCCCTTCCCTAGCTTATGAAAACACCTCATCACTGAAATTCATTTCAGCATTGCTCATGTCTTGGTGCATTTCCATGTCAGGAAATACTGGACAAAGGCTCGCTCACCCTGCTCCCAAATCCCTGCATTGTCCCCAGCAGGGAAGGGAAATGCAGAGCCGGGGCGTGCTGAGCTCAGCACAGCAGCATCCCGGGGCACCACGAGGGGGAAACGTGGCTGGGACAAAGCTGGCATCAGCTCATTTCAGGCCAGGCTGTGACTCACAAAGAGAGAATAAAGGAAACAGGGAGAAAAAGCAATCTCTGATGGTCAGGGTGTAGCTGAACCCTGTCGGAGGCACCATTCCTCCTCTGCCACCTCCCTTCTCTCTGGACCTGGAGGTGGATGTGATTGCTGGTATCTCCCTCAGCTTTGGGAGTCCCCATCCTTCCCTCATGCCTCACACACATCAGACCCTCTCGGGTTGCTGTTGTTAGTTGCTGCCCCGAGATGTGCAGGATGTCTCTGCTTCAGCCCGCGCAACTGAAGAACAAGTCTGGACTCTTCACTTTTCGGTCTTGAGGTTGTTTATTAATTCTTATCTATAAAATTGTCTTTCTGCCCAGCGGAGATCTGCTCAGCAGGGAAGCCACAGGTACTCTGTGTTGTTCTTTTATACTACAAACTATGTATAACATATTTACACTTAATTCCCAATGCCTATCACCTATGTTAGACAGTGCACTTCTACTCTAAACCAATCCCACAGTGCCAACATCACTGCAGAAAATGGAGAAGAAGAAGAAGGAGAAGGTTCCTCCATCTTGTCCCCATAACGCCCATACCAAAAATCCTAAAATCTACATTTTCACCCTGTGATCATTTTGTTATTACACCATTCAAACCTGAGTGACTTTCATGTCCTCATACAAAGCTGGCAACTTGCTCCAGGGGTCAAAATCAAATCCCCAGGTGTTCTGGGCAGCATGCCAAGGTCTCCAAGCCCCCCGACGGGGTACTTGGCAACTCTGGACACCTGGAGGGAAGTGCTGAGTTCTGACAAGACCCCTCTGGAGCACAGGGCTCCATCCTGTCCCATCACACAGCTCCTGATCCAGCCCAGTGGGGCTGGATTAACCCGCACGCCTGACCGGGCTGCCCTGCCGCGCTCAGCGGGATTCCCGCTCCCCATCCAGGCCGTGCCCCGGCTCTGACAGCACAGCTCAGCCCCCTGGGGATGCCAATCCCCGCACACGTGGGATCCTGGCCAGCAGCATCCATAAAAACCCCTCTGTGCATGCCCGGGCTGGGCTGCGGGGCTGGAGAGCAATGGCACTGCGGGTGAGCATGGGGAGAGGGTGGGGTGACAGAGATGAGTGAGTCTGACTCCATGTTCTTAGAAGGCTAATTCATTATTTTATGTAATATATTATATTGTATTGTATTATATTATATTATATTATATTATATTATATTATATTATATTATATATTATTCTACACATAGCATGTATATTATATATGCATTATATATTCGATTATATTGCATTATATTGCATTATATTACATTATATTGCATTACATTACATTGCATTGCATTGCATTATATTGCATTATATTGCATTATATTGTATTATATTGTATTATGTTGCATTATATTATTAGAATGCTATACTAAAACTAGACTAAAAGAGAAAGGATACAGACAGGAGGCTTGACAAGAGTGATAATAAAAAACTCATGACTCTCCAGAGCCTTGACACAACTGTCTGTGATTGGTCATTAAGTTAAAACAATTCTCATTAAACCAATCAAACAATGACCAGTTGGTAAACAATTCATTAAGTTAAAACAATTCCCATGAAACCAATCAATGACCAGGTGGTAAACAACATCCAGACCATGTTCCAAAGCAGCAAAACACTGGAGAAGCAATCAGATAATTATTGTTTTCATTTCTCTCCGAGGCTTCTCAGCTTCTCAGGAGAAGAAATGCTGGCAAAGGGATTTTTCCAGAAAATGTGACATTGACAAGCATGGGTGTGACAGTGGATAAAGGAAAGTGGAAGAGAAGGGTCAGACAGGTAGAAGTCCTGAATAACACAGGGGTTATTGCTCCTCTCTGTCAGTCTGGTCCAGACTACTGCAAAAGTGAGTTTTGTGATGCTCAGTAACCAGGAATTGGACAGATTTTCACCCAGCAGCAGAGGGAACAGCTCTTTGCTGTGTGTGCTGTGTCTCCTGCAGGGGTTGGTGTAATGATTATAACTAAAGTCAGGGCAAGGTGAACTTGGGTGCTGCCAGGAGCTCTTTGAATCCAGAACTCATCAGCATCAGCATCTTCTGTGCCTCACAGGGGTGAACTCTGTCAGAGCCTTTCAATGCCCATGTGTGGGGTCCCAAAGCTGCCCTCCTAAAGGAGCCAGGCATTCAGGGATGAGGTTGGTCATTGCTGACTCCTGCCTAAATGTCTCAGCTCCTGCCCAAAAACATGCATATCCCAAAATAAGCATTGGAAATAGAACTTGTGACAGAGAGAGAAACAGGGGAGTTGAAGTCCTGAGCTAAAGGAAGGGAGAAAAGCCACACAGCTGGTGGTGGAGGCTGGGAAAGGCTGGGAAAATTTTCCTAATGTGAGCAGTAAGTTTGTGAGAGGGGATGCTCAGAAATGCAAGATCATTAGAGTACTAAAAAAAAAAAAAAAAAAGAGGGGGGTGAAATGGCAAGAACTTCTTATTAAAATGAGTTATTTAATAAAACTATGAATTATTCAAAAAGGAACATTTTCCAGCTCATTTTATGCAAATTTAACCTTGGAGATGGGGAGAGCACGTGGAACAGGGGCTCAGGCAGGAACTTTTGGGAAAAATCAGCCGTGTAACACTGGATGAGCTCAGGCTGGATGTCACTTTACACCTGTTCCTCTGCTTCAAAGCATCACAAAGTTTTCTGCTTCAGATTTTGTATTGCTCAGGCACAGAGAGAAGCAGAACATCTTTGTGTCCTGACAACAATGAAGGCATTCAAGTTCTTCTTTTATTTTTTGCTTTCTGATCCCGCTCAGCTCTTTACAAAAGACCTCGGGGACAGCAAATCCCACCTCATCAACTGGGTGTCATAGAGACTTGATTTCTTATCAGTTTAGAGTCTCTGAGATTATTTAGGAGTGGGAAAAAGACTGGGATAGAGAATGTGCCTGTGTGGGAAAGGGAGGGAAAGAAGATAACGATGAAAATGAGAGAAAGGAGTGTCAGGGCTGAGTGGGGCAGTGCATCTCTGCCACCTTTGCTGTGTTCTCCTCCTTGTCTGCAGTTTGAGGCCCTGCACCCCGAGGGGATCTGTCCCGGATGGAGCATCGTGGTCAAGGGTGAGACCTGCTCCAGTTCAGGCATGTAAGGAATGCTCTGCTCCCGGCTCCCCTGGCTCACAAGGGCCAGAAGCATCGTTCCCAGCTCTCCATCCCTTTTCTCTCTCTGTCACAGGTTTGAGATTAATTTGCTCTGTGATCCCGGGGACCAAATCGCTCTCCACTTTAACCCTCGCCTCTCCAGCTCCAGAATTGTCTGCAACTCCTTCCTCAACAGCCACTGGGGGCAGGAAGAGGTTAACAGCACCTTCCCCTTCAAGGCAAAGGAGCCCTTTCAGGTAACTCTGTCACCTCAGGTGTAACAGGAGTAACCCAGCCAAAACTGGAGTGCTCCCCATTGCCTTTCCTGCCAACACCATACCCAGCAACATCCCCTCTCTGGCTTTGTCTCCTGTTAGTAATCCTGTTAAAACCTGGTGATTTATGCCCAGCTCTGGCACAGCCATGCAGAGCCCCAGCAATAATCCCTGGATGCTGCATTTGTTTTCAATTTGGGCTTTGCATTGCCACCAGATTTTGCTATCATGAAAGGAAAATCTCAGTTATTCCCTCTTTTTGCCCAGAGTGGGGGTGAGCAGTGCGTGTGTCAGCTCTGGCAGGATTTCAGGTGGGTGGACAGATCCAGCAGCTCCCTGATGTGATGGAAGCAAGGTCCGCTAAGGCCACATGAACATCACACAGTGTCTCTTTCAGGTTGAAATCTACTCTGACCAGGACTATTTCCACGTTTTCATCAATGAAAACAAAGTCCTGCAGTACAAGCATCGGCAGAAGAATCTCTCATCCATCACCAAGCTGCAGATTCTGGATGATATTGACATTTCTTCAGTGGAAATCACCAAACGAGCTCTTTACTAGAGACCAGAGTTGGGGCTCTCTCACACACCATTCCCCCTTGAGCTTCTGATTCAGCCAAGGATCATTTCCTCCCCATTTCCAGGGAGGTCACCATGTGTCCTCAGAGTGGAAGGGATGGTCATTCCCATCACCAACCACATTGCTGACCACAGCCCAGCCCTTCAAAGACCTTCTACAGCTCAGAGTGCTCAACAGAGTCTGTAGGTCTGATCATCTTTGCTGCACTTCAAAATCTGTCTTGAGCAGTCTGGACACCTGACTGTTACCTTAGAAATTGTGTTTGCCTAAGAGTAGTGTGTGCATGAGCCCCAGTCCTCCACTGGGCACGTGGGGAATGTGGATGTTAGGGGTGGGAAGGGATGTTTCTTTCCAGGAGCCGGGGAAGAATGACACCAGATTTGCCAATAAAATCAACCAGGGAAATCCCTGCTGAGACATCCCTCCCTGGGCGGATCAATCTCATCATTCCTTCCCTGCCAGTCCAGGCACCTGGCATGAGCAAGGGCTGGAGGACACTGTTGAGGTCTGTGTGATTTTGGCGCTGGGAAAACACTGCTTCTGTTTGAGGGCTAATGCAAGGTGAAGGTCCCTGGCATGCAGAACAGTGTGATCAGATTCAGCTTGCCAGGTGTTGCCAGGAATTCCCTTCACCAGCTTGGAGATGTTTCCTCAGCTCTACCCCTGCCAACTCCAGGCTCCTCAGACAGACCCCAGGGTGATGCTGTATGTCAGAGAAGGGCAAGAGCTTGAGGAGGCACATAAAGGCACATGGCTTCTCCACCATGCACCAGGAATGCAGCTGGACTCCAAACAAAAGGAACTGAGTAAATCTAGAAATTTTGATAAGCTTGGAATGAACAGAGTGCCTGGGGATATGCATGGGTAGCCTCTGGCTTTTCTTTGCTTTATTGCTTTCTTTTCTCCCCCTTTTTAGTTGTCTTTCAAAACAACCCACTTATCCCTTGCACCCTCTTCTCTTCTCCAGCCTCTTCCTTGGAGCACAATATATCTGTGAATCCTTGACCAGACCACAGCAGAGTAAAAGTTGTTATTTTTACTTTGTTTTAATTACACGCATCATAAACAGCACAATGTCACAGTGTTAAATCTGAACAGAACTTATTCCAAAAATGCAATTACAGCTGCCCTCTAATCACTCCTTTGTTCCTCACATATAAGACAGAACACATTCCGGATGGAAAAGGCAAAGATGGTCCTGATTTCACTGAGGAGAAATCACTTAATAAGAAGTCAGCCCTGATCCATCCTTGCTTTTGGATGAGATCTCTGAAGGTTGCAGCTTTGCTCCAGCCTTTTCTCTGTGTTCAAATTTGCCATTCCCAGCACTTCCTTCTATTTAGAGTTTCAAGGACTTGTGAGGAAGAGGAGGGTGTGGAAAACCACAACACATGATGCCATAAACCTGACAGTCATGAACCTGTTAAGAAGTTTGCAGTGTTTTTCCAGACTGTCAAGAGCACTAATGGGAAACCATCCTGTTCTTGCAGCAAAGGGCTCATTGGGAACACAAAATGGTGCCAAATGGTGCCTTTTTCCCTCCAAAAAGAACAGAAAACACATTTTGGAAATGGCAGTGGTCTGAATGGCAAGTCAGGAAAGTTGGAGATGCCAAGACTTCCTCTGGGCTGGAATAAATCCATCACTATGGGACAAGAGATTCGACCCAAATTCTGGGTGTTATGATATAACCCAAGGCTTCAACACACTTTGCTCTCATGGCCAAGCCTTCAGCTAAACAGGCACAAAGGCAGACAAAGCCAGGCCTGCAGGGATCTCTGTGTCATCCATCTGATAGTGCTGAGCAGCATTTGAAAGAAATTGTCCTCTCTGTCTGTGCTTTTTTTTGGGTGCTGATAACGACAGATCATTTTTCATGGAGGAAAAGTGACAAAATTATTTATAAGGGTGATACTTTGTACTTATATGGCCACCAGCTGCATCCACAGCCCCTGCTGCAGAAACACCCCACAATTTCATTGTTCCCCAGGAATGACCACAGACAAAGAGGGCAAAAACATTTCAAGTACAAATAAATAAAGAGATGCCACAAAAATCAGGCAGAGACAGAGATTATGCCCTGACTCCTGGACACATCATCCCCAGCTCCTGCCAGCAGCTGATCTCACTCCATTGCCATCTGCACCAGGAGAGCCCAATCTCTCCTGACACATCCCCAGCCCTGCTGCTGCCTCCAGGGCTTTATCTGCTGCCTCCTCCAGCCACAACACAGCCAAGGGTGAAGGGGGCAGAAGAGCAAGAGAGGTCTGGGAATCTACAGAGCCCTGCTGGAAGCAGAACTTCAGGGCTGGCTGTTTATAGCTGTTTTGCAGAGTTTTATGGAGGATGAGATGCCCTCCAAGTCTGTGACCGTCATCTGTCCCGTGAGGAAAAACTCCAGAAAAAAATTAAGCCTTGCAATTACAATGGTGAATTAAACTCTCTGGAGCAGGCCTGGCACACCAGGCTTGCAGGGAGGCATCATGTGCTGGCACTGAGGGGATCAAAGAGGACAAATTAATCCTTTTTCTCATTTCTATCAGCTTTCCTGTTCATGACTGGGGGTAGAACTGATAAAGACAATAAATAAAGGCAAGCTCCTGCCCAGGGTGTTTTGAAGGGGAAGGGGCTGCAGCAGGAAGATCCCCCCACCAGAATTTCACTGCCCACCCTCAAGGTCAAGCTCCGTAGGAATTTGCAGGCAACCCTGACATGGGAAGAGATGAGAATCTTGACTCCATGTTTCAGAAGGCTGATTTATTATTTTATGATATGTATTATATTAAAAGAAAATTATATATCAAAACTATGCTAAAAGAATAGAAGAAAGGATTTCATCAGAAGGCTAGCAAGGAATAGAAAGGAATGGAATGACAATAAAATCTTGTGACTGATCAGAGAGTCCAAGACAGCTGGACTGGGATTGGCCATTAATTAAAAACAACCACATGAGACCAGTCAAAGATGCACCTGTTGCATTCCACAGCAGCAGCAAATTATTGTTTACATTTATTTTCTGAAGCATCTCAGCTTCTCAGGAGAAAAGATCCTAATGAAAGGATTTTTTTATAAAACATGTCTGTGACAAAGCTCTGCATTTTTGCTGCGGCCAAGTTCTGCAGAGGATCCAGCTGGAATGTTCCAGAGAGAACATTGCTGTGGGATGGGGCAGGGACTGTCCTAGTCAGGATCTGCAGACGAAGCAGCAGTTGCTGCTTGTGTGGCTCACACAAACTAGGAAGGGATACCTGGGAAAGAGAGATGTGTCTCAGGAGGCAAAAGTGACAGAAGTGATGGCCTCCCATGTGGGCTCCTCCTTTCCCACCAGTTCTCCTCATTTGGAGTGGATCTGCAGAGCTCAGAAACGCTCTGGTTCATCCCCAGATCAACAACGGGAAAGTCAGGCTCGTAATTCTTTATGCTTGAGCTATGCCAGAGCTCCAAGGGCCGAGGGCCCCTCTGGCAGTTTCACAGCTCTCCTGTGGAGCATCTGCTGATGCGTGAGCAGAGCTGCTCCTGGATGTTCCTGGCAGCCCTGGCAATACCCACACACCCAGCAATTCCCTGACAGCCCTGGCAATCCCCTCACACCCAGCAATTCTCTGACAGGCTGGTGTTCCTGACAGGCCTGGCAATCCCCACACACCCAACAATTCCCCCACATGATGGTGTCCCTGGCAATCCCCACACACCCAACAATTCCCCCACATGATGGTGTCCCTGGCAATCCCCACACACCCAACAATTCCCCCACAGGATGGTGTCCCTGGCAATCCCCACACACCCAGCAATTCTCTGACAGGCTGGTGTTCCTGACAGGCCTGGAAACCCCCACACACCCAACAATTCCCCCACAGGATGGTGTCCATGGCAATCCCCACACACCCAACAATTCCCTCACAGGATGGTGTTCCCGACAGGCCTGGCAATCCCCACACACCCAGCAACTCCCTGACAGCCCTGGCTTCCCCACACACCCCAGCAATTCCCCCACAGGCCTGTGAGCTCCCTCATCATCCTCAGTCATATCTCACCAGCACAGCAGCAGCCTGGGGATATTGGGTGACTGACACCAGCCCTGCCAGCCTCAGTAAGTGACAATTAGTATCAGCCTGGGTCCTGCCTGGAGGCAGGAATGGGGCGAGGGAAGGGGCAAGGATTTGTTGCCAATGCAGTGACAAAAACTTTCAGGAAAGTTCTAGAAAAGAAGAAAGTCACACTGGCTGCATCTGCCCCATACTCACTTTGCAACTTGGTACCTTTTCTTTCAACCTCTGTTTTCTTTCTTTTCCATCCCTGCAGAAACCCCCCAGACCTACCAAATTTGATGCTGGGTGTTTAACTACTTCCTCGGTGCTAGAAGGCAGCTCTGGTGAAGAAAGGTAGGACGGAGGGCATTTATTAACCATTTAATTAAAAATTCCTTTTCTCCCCCTATTTCAATGCCCCCCCTGAGCATCTCCTGATGGAAACAGCAGCACAGATCTTCTCCCCACTCACACTCAGCAGCTGTGCTGTGGCACAGCTCAGTGACCCTGGCCCCTTGTCTGTGGCATCTCTAATTTCCCCCATCCCCCAAGGGCTGTTTTCCCAGCACAGAAATATCTGCTACAAGTGCAGACCTTATCAGCAGTGACTTTCTGCACTGCATCTCTGAGTCCCTATCTAAGAGGCTGCTTATTCAACCCTTGTGGGCTGTCCAACTCCTTAAATGCTCAGCAGTCACAGGTGTTTGCTGGCAGGACTGAGGAACACAAAGAGCAAACATTCAGCCTTTTGCTGGAGATTTTGAGGAAAATAAAACAAGAGGAAAGGAGAAGCAGCTCTGAGTTCTGGTGGGGAAAGGGAATTTCTGAGGCTACAGGCAGCCCCAGAATGCAGCTAGAAGAGTCTCTGCAGGAAAGCAGAGGGGTGTTTCTTGCACTGCAATTAAAAAGAGATTTATAAACCATTTTAACTCAGCATCTACATCCAGAGCCAGC